GTCATCTGCGGTATGGACATATATATATATTCTTGCTCAGCGTAAAATTCTGCGTTGATTTAGACATGTCCGTCCGTCCGTCCGTCCGTCCGTCCGTCCGATCGCACGATAACTCAAAAACGAATAATGCAATCGACACCAAACTTTCACAAGTTGTTTTTTTTGTGCCAAGGACGAACCCTATTGTTATTGGACCAATTCGGACAACGGGTTCGGGGAGCTGCCATACAACTCAAAGAGTTTATTTTAATTATTTCAAAAACTAATAAAGGTACAAATATAGAATTTTGTATACATGTGTCCAATTATATTCTACATATGCTCTAAAAATTTTAATGAGATAGCTGCACCGGTTCGGGTGGCTGCCATACAACTCCAAAAGCAAATTTTTTATATTCGGCAAAATAATAAAGTCAGATTCATGAAACTTGGCAGTCGTGTGTCCAATTATAGGTCAAAGATATTTCTGAAGTTTTGGTGGAATTGCTTGACAGGTTCGAGCAGCTCCCATACAAGTCCAAAAGCTTATTTTAAATATTTGGAAAGGTAATAAAGTTAGATTCTTAAAACTTGGCAGTTGTGTGTCCAATTATAGATCAGATATATTAGCGAAGTTTTAGTGGAATTGCTTGGCAGGTTCGGGTACCTGCCATACAACTCCAAAAACTAATTTTAAATATTTGGAAAAATAATAAAGTCAGATTCATGAAACTTGGCAGTTATGTGTCCAATTATAGGTCAAAGATATTTCTGAAGTTTTGGTGGAATTGCTTGACAGGTTCGAGTGGCTCCCATACAAGTCCAAAAGCTTATTTTAAATATTTGGAAAGGTAATAAAGTTAGATTCTTAAAACTTGGCAGTTGTGTGTCCAATTATAGATCAGATATATTAGCGAAGTTTTAGTGGAATTGCTTGGCAGGTTCGGGTACCTGCCATACAACTCCAAAAGCTAATTTTAAATATTTGGAAAAATAATAAAGTCAAATTCATGAAACTTGGCAGTTGTGTGTCCAATTATAGATCAGATATATTTGCGAAGTTTTAGTGGAATTGCTTGGCAGGTTCGGGTACCTGCCATACAACTTCAAAAGCTAATTTTAAATATTTGGACAGATTCATGAAACTTGGCAGTTGTGTGTCCAATTATAGATCAGATATATTAGCGAAGTTTTAGTGGAATTGCTTGGCAGGTTCGGGTACCTGCCATACAACTCCAAAAACTAATTTTAAATATTTGGAAAAATAATAAAGTCAGATTCACGAAACTTGTGTGTTCAGTTATAGATCAGACATATCCGTGAAGTTTCTATAGAATGGTTTCACAGGTATAAGTAATTGCTATACAACAATGAAAGGTGCAGGGTATAATTCAATCGGTTCATACCGACTGAAACGTTTTTACTTGTTTAGTTTTAATGTTGCCGCTATCGCCATTTTTTCTTCTTTCTTAATTTTAAAGTTTTTAAAATTTTTTAGATTTTGAAGACGTATCGAAATCTAAAATTACATCCGTCAATAGCGTTCCTTCCATTTTATTGTATAGTAAAAATATTTTTGAATTCAAAAATGATATAACAATAATTGCCAAAGAGATATTTTCAATTTGCCAATCATCACATATTTCTCACCTAATTAAGTATAGCTAACTACATAATATTATTATTGCACGAAATTGAGTTTCAAGATTATCGATATTGCAAATGAACAAGATCGAGGACAGGCATTTCGATATTGCAATAAATACAATCGCTAAGATAAGACCCAATAATTTTTAAAGTTGTATGGGAGCTACCATAAGCAGTCGAACTTTTATCAAGCACAATAACTCTAACGGTATATTTGTTTGTACGAAATTTTAATACTTTAGCTTCCATACTTTCTGAAGTTTGGCAAAAAAACTTTTGACTCCAATTATTTTTAAGCTTCCACTCGACCCACTGCTACATTCACCATTACCAACTGTATAACTTAATATTACAATCTGAAAGGTTGCAAGTATCAACTAGATATTTTTGAGGCTTATCTTCTTTTCTCTGCTTATTTAAAAATTAAAAGGGTTTTAAGAATGTATTGCAACAATAAGAATAAAACAAGTTTTGAATACACATGTACATAAAAATTATCTTGCTTAATTATTCATTAATGCAACAAGATTCCTTTTTTCTGTATATTTCACGTGAATAAAAAATTTAAAATTATAAGAAGAACCATTAAATTATAGTAATGTTTTTCTTTTGCTTTACAAGACAATTTTCATTTATGTAACTTTTTAAAAACTGCTCAAAGTAAGAATTATGAAATTTCTGTTTGCTTTTAATTTAAGTTTTAATAAGAGTATCATTGACATTATAATGGAGGGAATAATTTTGTTTATTACTGATTTTACAGCAAAACATTTAACTATTAACAAAAGATAGTAATTAATAAACATTCATATATTAAATGCTGATTTATTTTCTGAAGTGCTGATTCATCTCTGTATTGAAAATCATGTGCTAAATAAAATGTTCATTTTTATGTTGTAAATTAGTCTGTTTTTACTTTGTGAGATTTTGTTTCATCGTAAAGAGACAAAACTAATTATACTATAGCAATAATAGGATACAAAATTTTAACACTCCAAGAAAATATTTCTATTTTACGTGATTTAATTTTAGTTTAATGTGAACTGATAAATTTTAGTTTTCACGGCTTTAATATTTTTCTAGTGTCATAGAAAATGTTTTATTGAACATGAAACATTAAAATTGCGTCATATAAAAGTTGCTAATTTAATAAAGTTATTAACTTAATGAAACATTTGTAAATGCAAATTTATCAACAAAAAAAAATAAAAGACATTAATAGGTCCCACTCAATGAAGAACTCTTTTGTATAGATAAAAATTTATTTATAAAGTAAATTTATATTGTATTAAAATTATTTAACGTTTAACATTTTCATTTCCATAATTATGTCAAAACAATTTCGAGTAAAATAATGTTTGCAGCGTCATAAATTTATAATTTTTTTATGTAGACTTCATACTTACGCCAATGTGAATGTGTGAAGTACATTTAAGTCAACATTCCGAAAATTTTACATTCTATAAACTGATTTTTCTGAGACTGTTTTCACTTTTGCATTCGTTATGTGATGCCGCAAGCGGAACTGGTGGGTGTGCAAGGCATACTATCGTAGCTTCAGATTCTGAAGAAATCTGGGAGTGACTGGGAAGATGCGGATGACTCTATGATACTGCCGCTGCACTTCTACTGCCGGTAGTCCATTTTTTTTAGATTGGTTTGGAAGTATGGTACACTAGTGAACTCGGGCTCGAGCCCGGACCCTCGTCGGACCCTGGGTGCTATGTAACAACAATTATTCTAAATTCTATATTTCTTATTATTATTTTCCCATTTATTTAAATTTCCAATATTGCTAAAATTCTATATAACATACAAAATTCTACAAACATTATAGTTAGTAATATTTTCCCATACATAACTCTCTCCCAATATTTTAGTAGGAGTCAAATTACATACATTTTGTTTGTTAATTTTACTTTAAGTAAATTTGAAACCTATATGATACGTAAGTTAAGTTAACATGGGAAAATTATGAATTTTTTAAATGCATAAAATTGCTTACTATTCTATTTCTATGTTCTTCTTCTTCTTCTTCTGCGTATCCACTTACTGGATGTTTGCGACTACATTTCTATATGCCTCCCTGTCTTGCGCAACATGTACCAGCTCTTCTACTGTTCGTATGCCAGTCCATTGTCTGATGTTTCTGAGCCAAGACATCTGCTTTCTTCCCACACGCCTTCTTCCCTCAATTTTGCCTTGCAAAATCAGCTGCAGTATGAAATATTTGTCGTTACGCATTAAATGACCGAGAAATGTTGTTTTTCTGTGTTTTATTGTTAGTAATAATTCTCGGTCATTATTTACTCTTCTTAAGACCTCTTCATTTGTAACTCTATCTATCCATGGGATTTTTAACATCTTACGGTATATCCACATCTCGAAGGCTTCTAGCTTGTTCATTGTTGATGTTTTTAGTGTCCAAGCTTCCATTCCATAGAGGAGAATTGACCACACGTAGCATTTTACAAATCGAATACGGTTGTGGAGATGTATATCCCGATTGCAAAATATATTTTGGTACTTTATAAAAGATCTGCGCGCGTATTCAATTCGGCATTTTATTTCCATATCTGAATTCCAGTCTTCGTTTAACCAACATCCCAGATACTTAAAACTTGAAACTCTTTCGATATTTTGGCCATTCACGGTTAAAACTAGATTATTAAATGTGTTGGTCCTGGATATAACCATGAATTTGGTTTTAGAAATATTCATATTTAAACCGAAGAGCATACTGTGGTCATTTACTGAGTTTAAAAGTTGTTGTAGTTCAGTAATACTGCCGGCAATCAAGGTGGTATCGTCTGCATATCGTATATTGTTAATATTTACTCCATTTATTTTTATACCAACATCTACATTATCAGCTACTTCTTCGAATATCTTTTCAGAGTATAGGTTAAAAAGTAAAGGCGATAATATGCAACCTTGCCTCACTCCTCTTTTTATTTTTATCTCATCAGTGGTGAAATCTCTCGTAACAACTTGAGCTTTTTGGTTCCAGTATAAGTTTTTGATACATCGAATCTCTTTTTCATCCAGATCTATTTTATTCAAAACCTCCATTAATTTGTCGTGTTGCACGCAGTCGAAAGCTTTTTCGTAGTCAATGAAGCATATAAAAATGTCTCGATGAACATCGCGGCAGTTCTGAATTAATACTTGGAGACCAAGAAGCGCTTCTCTCGTACCGAGACCTTCCCTGAAGCCAAATTGTGTGTTACTGATGCTGCTTTCACATTTTTTGTAGATACGGGAATGAATAATTTTTAAAAAAATTTTTAAAGCGTGGCTCATTAAGCTTATAAGTCGATATTCACTACATTTTTTCCAGTTTGATTTTTTAGGTAAGGTAACGAATGCCGAACTTAGCCAAAAATGTTTTTCAAAATTTCTAAGTTTTCGTCATCTATTAGCTTAAAAATTTCTGCGGGTAGCTCATCGGGTCCAGGAGCTTTATTATTTTTTGACAACTTAATTGCTCTTTTTATTTCCTCTGTTGTTATTGAAGGACCTGTGGGTTCAGTTTCCGAAGTTCTTAGAGCATCGGTTCTACTAATATCATCGAATACTTCTTCTATGTATTCCTTCCAGACTTGTTTTTTCTGTTCTTGATCTAGGACTATATTATTATTGTTGTCAACTAGATTAGAAAATGTCTGTTTGCGGTATACTCCAGCGGTTTCTTTAATTTTCTTGTGAAGATTAAACATATCGTGACGATTTTGAAAAGTCTCAATTTCTTGACATTGAGAGTTCAACCATTGTGACTTTGCAGATCTAATTTTTGAGCGAATTACTGTTTGCAGGCGCTTATATTGACTATAGTCCTTATTTTTGTGCATTCGTCTCTGATCCATTAAGTTTAAGATCTCGCTTGTCATCCATTTCTGTTTTGCTCTGCTGTTCGTGTGGCCCAGTTTGGTTGAAGCTACATTTTTCATAGTACTTTTCAATCGATCCCATACTTCATCAATTTCCACATTATTAAAGCTGGTACCTTCGAAATTTAATTTCATTTGATTATTAAGCTCCTGAGTAACTTCGGTTTTACATTCATATTCCTTGAGTTTCTGTAGGTCTAAATGTTTTTTGCGTGTTGATTTTGTCATTACTGCCAATTTTATGTTGATTTGCGATAACAGTAAATTATGGTCTGAAGGAACATCGGCACCTGGATACGTTGAAACTTTTGATACGCATGTACTGTATCGCTGGTTAATTAATATAAAGTCGATCTGGTTCCGGATTACATTTCGATCGTTATCTTCAGGTGATTTCCATGTGTAAAGTCGACGAGGTGGTAAACAAAACCAAGTGTTCATTATTTTGAGCTCTTGTTCCGTACAGAACTGAATTAGTCTATCACCTCTTGGGTTTCTGGTACCTAAACCAAATGGTCCAACAATTTTTTCTACTTGCGACTTTCCTATTTTGGCATTAAAATCCCCCATAATGATGTTGATCTCGTGTTTTTTGGTCATTTTCATGAGCTCCTCGACTTCATTGTAGAATGATTCAACGTCTTCGTCAGTTTTATCAGCAGTTGGTGCATATGTTTGAATGATGTTTATATTCAAAGGCTTCGCGTGTATTTGAAGCAATAAAGTTCTATCTGAGTATGACAAAAAGTTTTTTTACGCATTTTTCGACGGCCTCGGAGACGATTATTCCAACCCCATTTCTATGGTTTCTACTTTGGTTCCCGGAATAATACATTGTTGCACCGTTTGTTTTACATTTGCCAGAATCAGGCCACCATGTTTCACAAACACCTAATATATCGATGTGAAGTCTCTTCATTTCTTGTATGGTATTTGCTAGTTTACCGCTTTCATAAATGCTACGAACATTCCAAGTACCTATTTTTAGTTTGCGTTGAGTTTTACCTCCGGGGATTCTTAGCACCCTCGTTGTGCCGGAGACTGAGGGCTTTGTTTCTGTTTGTACTTCCATGTATGTAGTTTTCTTGGGATAAGATACTTTAGTAGTTTCCCGTGGCTTTCTAAAGGGTTTTGCAGTTTTCCTTCTGTCATAGTAGCTGCCGCCCCTCAGGGGTCAGACGCAGACTATTTCTATGGGAAATAATTAATTTTAAGTAGTATAATTTTTAATAAATAAATTAATTATTTTCAAACCAAGCAATAAGAAGGTTTTCAATTAAACTATTTAACACTGGGAGTGAATTTAAAGACAGCATCCAACTCCCTGAGAAATATCCTAGATATTTACTTGAGACCGGAATAGTATTAATGGGATATGGAAGGGCTACAATAAGCATTGGGTGCCTGCGGTCGGAGGATGAGAGTTCCTTTGACCATATGTTTGTTCAGCAATCTACAATCCCATTGAAAATGTTTGGTTTGCTGTAAAGAGTAAATCTTTTAAATCAAATTCAAATATAAGGAATATAACCCTGAAGTTTACTATACTCATTAATTCATTATTCTCATATTGAAGTTTACTATTCCATATTATTCTCATATTGAAGTTTACTATTCTTATTTTGATCAATTGAGTAATACATATTTACTTTTAACGTTTGAGCAAATCTACTTATACGGTAATGAAGTTGCTTTTATCGGAGACTAAAGTTAAAATACATGCAACCGAAGAAAGGAAGACATTTTTGATTTCATGTTAAATGCTAGTTGGTAAGAAAATTAACAACCAAAAAATTTATTCAAAATAATTCTTTGTATGTAATATTTGATTAAATATAACTATATAATTGTATTTTTCTATTCATTGCGTAAAAAAGAAGAAAATTTCAAACCAATTAAAAAGAAAAAAGAAAGTAATTTTTATATTGGGTTTTTAAATTTTTGTTCGGGCGCGACTAAAATAGTATTACTAAGTACATAGGATTAAGGAAACATTCTTCTACACCAAAAAAATGTAATTGTTATGAATACAATTGAACTTCTCTTCAATAAAAACTAAAAGCCATTTTTTAGGAAAAATATTATTGCACTTAAAAGTATTGTTTTGCAACTTTAATTTTTCTAAATTGTTATTTATTTGACATATTTGACTAAATTAAAGAACCAATAATCAAAATTTTCATTTTTTAAGCAAAATTTTTTCAAATCTTAATTTAAAGATTTCCTTAGTAAGATTTTTAATTTTTTATTTCAATTACAGATGGTAACGAGAACGAAAAAAATATTTGTCGGTGGGCTTTCTGCACCTACAACACTTGAAGATGTCAAAAGTTATTTTGAACAGTTTGGACCGGTAAGTATTTATAAAACATGCATATAAATATCCTTAGAAAGTTATTTAAGTCATATTGAATAAAAGAAATTGATTGTCACAAAAATAACAATTCCGAGGTATTGACACATTAGTTTTATTCAATTTGTTGCATCGCAAGAAATCTGTAAGAGATTCTGGTAAATAATGTATGTAAATATCCTGATATAATGTGTATTTCCCAAATAATATTTCATTACTAATGTTTTAATTGAATTGATATATACTCGCATGTTCTACAAGATTGTGAAAATTACCTCTTAACACTCATTCTGAATTCTATCAAAACTAGTAAGTCTCAGATAAATATACCTACAAGTGGGACAAATCATGTATGGTCAAGTATGATTTGAGCAACTCAACGAATGGTGAATCTTCTAAATTTGAATATCAAACCTTTGTTTGAAAACTTAGTAGCCGTTTTGTTACCAGAAAAATTTTCAAACATTATTGCTTTTCTTTTAACGTCTTTTCTGCAAAATTCGTTATTCTGTTCTTAAACAAACTGATGATTTTTAAAAGACTATAAGAATACAGATTTTAAGGTTATGAAGATTTCAGTTTCACTTATATAACGTAATAGAAATCATGTAAAAAATACGATTAAAGAAATTATTTAAATAATAATATGATGCAACGAAATTAGCGATAACAAGTAAAAACGTTTCAGTCGGTATAAACCGATTGAATTATACCCTGCATCTTTTTTGTTGTATAGCAAATACTAAAACCTGTGAAACCATTCTATAACCTGTGAAACCATTCTATAGAAACTTCACGGATATGTTTGACTTATAACTGGACACACAACTGCCAAGTTTCATGAATCTGACTTTATAATTTTTCCAAATATTTAAAATTAGCTTTTGGAGTTGTATGGCAGGTACCCGAACCTGTCAAGCAATTCCACTAAAACTTCGCAAATATATCTGATCTATAATTGGACACACAACTGCCAAGTTTCATGAATCTGACTTTATTATTTTTCCAAATATTTAAAATTAGCTTTTGGAGTTGTATGGCAGGTACCCGAACCTGTCAAGCAATTCCACCAAAACCTCAGAAATATCTTTGACCTATAATTGGACATACGACTGCCAAGTTTCATGAATCTGACTTTATAATTTTTCCAAATATTTAAAATTAGCTTTTGGAGTTGTATGGCAGGTACCCGAACCTGTCAAGCAATTCCACTAAAACTTCGCAAATATATCTGATCTATAATTGGACACACAACTGCCAAGTTTCATGAATCTGACTTTATTATTTTTCGAAATATTTAAAATAAGCTTTTGGACTTGTATGGGAGCCACTCGAACCTGTCAAGCAATTCCACCAAAACCTCAGAAATATCTTTGACCTATAATTGGACATACGACTGCCAAGTTTCATGAATCTGACTTTATTATTTTTCCAAATATTTAAAATTAGCTTTTGGAGTTGTATGGCAGGTACCCGAACCTGTCAAGCAATTCCACTAAAACTTCGCAAATATATCTGATCTATAATTGGACACACAACTGCCAAGTTTCATGAATCTGACTTTATTATTTTGCCGAATATAGAAAATTTGCTTTTGGAGTTGTATGGCAGGTACCCGAACCTGTCAAGCAATTCCACCAAAACCTCAGAAATATCTTTGACCTATAATTGGACATACGACTGCCAAGTTTCATGAATCTGACTTTATTATTTTTCCAAATATTTAAAATTAGCTTTTGGAGTTGTATGGCAGGTAGCCGAAACTGTCAAGCAATTTCACTAAAACTTCGCAAATATATCTGATCTATAATTGGACATACAACCGCCAAGTTTCATGAATCTGACTTTATTATTTTGCCGAATATAAAAAATTTGCTTTTGGAGTTGTATGGCAGCTACCCGAACCGGTGCAGCTATCCCATTAAAATTTTTAGAGCATATGTACAATATAATTGTACACAAGTATACAAAATTTTATATTTATACCTGTATTAGTTTTTGAAATATTTAAAATAAACTCTTTGAGTTGTATGGCAGCTACCCGAACCCGTTGTCCGAATTAGTCCAATAACAATAGGGTTCGTCCTTGGCACAAAAGAAACAACTTGTGAAAGTTTGGTGTCGATTGCATTATTCATTTTTGAGTTATCGTGCGATCGGACGGACGGACGGACGGACGGACGGACATGTCTAAATCAACGCAGAGTTTTACGCTGAGCAAGAATATATATATATGCCCATACCGCAGATGACTCCTTCAAGTAGTTACAAACTCCATACCAAAGTTAATACACCCTTCACGAAGTGCAGGGTATAAAAATTGAGAGACATCTGACATGAGCCTGTAATGTTTTGTAGATCAGTTTTATTTCTAGCACCACCCTAATATCCTATAAGTGTAAGCTGCAATAGAAGTATGGGGATTTTCGGAAATTCAGTTCTAATTTACATAAGACTTGATGACGAAACGGATTTTAAAGATATTAAAAATAAAAATTATTGTGGATTTGTTTCATGAAAGTAAAAAGTATTAATGCAAATTTTCAATGTTTGTTGGTAAAATGCATTGAACGTTACGAGTAACAATTTTTTAGAATCGCATAAATGAAAAATAGCCAAAAACGAGAAAAAAAATAGAGTTGACCTTGTCAACTCTGTGATACGCGTACGAATTTGTTATCCTATGTGCGAATAACTAATGTGCCATAACTAACTATGGGGCAGACTATGACTTTAAGTTGCCGTATTACCATATTAATTTATGCAAAATTTCAGTACTATGTGTTATTCAAAATACTGGTTGTGCCAAACTACTATTGATGTTGTATGGCAGCTACCAGAAAGAGCCAAGAAATTTTAGCGAATTTTATCAAGCACATCGGCCCTACTAATATATTCACTTGTGTGAAATCTCAATATCACAGCTTTTATAGTTTTTGAGATATAGTCAAATAACTTTTGAAGTTTTATGGCAGGTACCAGAAGGAGCCAAGTAATTTCAACGACTTTTATGAGACACATTGGCCCTACTAATATATTCGTCTGTGTGAAATTTCAATACCATAGCTTTAGTAGTTTCTGAAATATAGTCAAATAACTTTTGAAGTTGTATGACAGGTACCAGAAGGAGCCAAGTAATTTCAACTACTTTTATGTGACACATTGGCCCTATTAATATATTCGTTTGTATGAAATTTCAATACCATAGCTTTAATAGTTTCTGAAATATAGCCAAATAATTTTTGAAGTTGTATGGCAGGTACCAGAAGGAGCCAAGTAATTTCAACGACTTTTATATGGAATATTGGCCCTACTAATATATTCGTTTGTGTGAAATTTCAATACCATAACTTTTATAGTTTCTGAGATATGGCCAAATAAATTTTGAAGTTGTATGGCAGCTACCCGAACCGGTACCCCGATCATGTCCAATTTAAATAGGGTTCTGGCACTTACTACAATAAATCATTTGTGAAAATTTGGTGAACTTAGCTCAATTAGTTTTTGAGTTACCGTTCGGACGGACGGACGGACGGACGGACAGACAAAGCTAAATCAACTCAGAATTTGGCGCTGATCAACAACATACACTTGAGTCTATATCTAACACCGTTATTTCTTAGCGTTACAAACGGTAAGGCAAATTTAGTATACCCTTCGAACATACGTTCGTACGGGTATAATAAATCTGGATCGAGTTTATTATAATAGTAATTTTATTTCGGCACTTGATAATTTACTATCACCCCTAGAAATGACATCACATAGAAATTCTTAATGGATTGAGAATATTTCAGTTCATGACTTGACACATAACTTGACACATACCATGTTCACGTCGCTCTTGAGGGAACTAACGGTCTGATCAATATCAAATAGTTTTAAAATTAATTTAATCAAAAGTTTTTTGATTAAATTAATTTTAATTTAATTTTAATTTAATAATTGTTTATTAAAAAGAAGTTGAAATGGCTGATAAAAGAAATATTAATCCTACTTATTATAAAGATAATCATGAAAGAATACAAGGGAAGAAGCGAGTGCGTTATTTACAAAATTGCGGAAATATTAGCGACAAATATATTACCAAAATCGTGAAAATATTAGAGAACAGCAGCAAATACATTATTCTCAATAGGTAAAATAAAAGTCTACACTATGATAAAACTTTCAAACTTTTAAACTAGAGTAGAATGTGCGAACTACTAATGGAGTAGGTAATGGAGTTACATATTTCTAGATGATTATCTGCTAAAATAAACTCTTATATGGCAACTAAAGTGCCAAATCACTTTTGTCAATCAGAAAATAATTTATATTTTGCAACAAATTTTTAGTGTATTGGTGTTAAACAATATTTCTCTACGTGCAATTCTTTACGCTAAAAGCGAACATGTACGGTTAATTAAAGAAAATATTTTGAATATTTTACAAAATTCTGAAAAAACTTTGAGTACAATTGATTCTGTAAAAGGGATGATGGCTCTCAAAATGACAAGTTGCAAATAAGTAGTAGAATATTTCAGTAACCCAGTAGAATATTTCAACACTTTGAATCCTCCTGGATTATAACTCCCATTTAAATTAAATATTAAATCAGGTTAGACTGTTAAAATGTTATATTAATGAAATTGCTTGGCTCCTTCTGGTAGCTCCATACAACTTTGTTGTGAACTATGGTAGAATTACATTATCGACATCATTCTCTGAACACTCTTTAGTATGATGTTCTGTTCAGGTTAATTTTGTAATTTTTGTACTTTATTATTTAGTTCCCTATTACGTTAAAATTTAAATTATTGCATTTACATTAACATTTAAATTATTTTAGATTTATCAAGTATTAATGATTATACCCGTTATTCTTTTAAATTACTTTAGTTTTTACGAAAGTTTGCACTGTACAGTGTGCTTTTTCAAATCTCATAATTACCGTTTGCTTTGCATACAATAAGGGAGGTTATGTGTTGGCAACAAATTTTGCCAACACATAACCTCCC